TTAGAGATTAGCGTTAGCGTTTTGAAGAGGCTATCCGATAGTAGCCTTTAGCTTTAGCATTTTTGGAATTGATCTACATCATTAAAATTTTATCCAAAACGTTAACGCTAATCGAAAACGCTATTCCCAAACAAGGCCTTCATCTCAATGGGTTTACATGCTTCAATATTACAGATGCGGAGCGGTGGTGATCACGCAACATCACACCCATTCGACTCTATTTTTGGGCCTCTAGATAACGTTGATGAGATCTCTCGCCCGTCCCTTGCTCCAACGCCCACACCGCGTCAGAAGCATGGTAGAAGTCGCAGGCGCAGGCATCTGATGCATCACAAGGAGGCCTCCCAAGCCTAGCTGCCAATGAACCAGTCCTTTTGTTTCTAGAATGGCATATGGCTGGCATCATTTCTGTTCCTGAGATGCTAACTTTTGTTAGCGTGAGAGTTTCTTTTAAAAAACATTATGTCTGCGATTATGAAATGATTGTAACCTTAAAAAAAACAACATTATGTGTGTGATGATGTCTATTTACTATTGAGCATTGTCATTGAACAAATTGATCTTTTGTTCTTAGCTTATTTTCTGTAATATCTTTTTATTAGTTAAAATATTCATGTCACTCGTTAATACCTCAAACTCTCAAAGGCATTGCTTAAAATTAAACTAGTATTTCTACCCGTGCCACGCAAGAGTTCGGACGATTTTTTTTCCGATTCTACAATGTGGATCTTGATTTTTATTTGGCATATTATTTAAAGGTCAAATATAAACAATCTAGGTTTCATGTATTTCTATAAATCTATAATTTTTCTCCCTGTATAAATTCAAAAATATATTAATACAAAGAGTATTAGTGATTCAATGAGTGTTTTTCCTCACATTAATTCTAACCATTTATGTATTTAGGTTTTTAATTTTTAATTATTTGAGATCATTACTGTACATATTTGGCAAGTTTGTGAATTTTGTGATTTTTTTGCGACTATAACATTACTCTTTTTTAATATTTAAACCGAGGACATCTTCATTAATGCATAAAAATAATTTTTTAAGGGAAGCATTGATGCTTTAGGAAGCAATCCATGTCACCAACCACTGCACAATGCATGAGTTCTTAGAATCAGCAGATGATTTAGCAAGATCTTATGAGAAGCACTTGGGTTTGGAGATGCTCTAATAGAGTAATCCAAATCTTTTATTTTTAATCTTGCCTTATTATGCACCCGGACATGATAACAAATCTAAGAAAAGTATTTATATTTGTTTGTGTTTGAGGTATCTGTTATGAATTCGGATACATGATATTATTATGTATTTATCATATATAAATTTTTTTGAAAAAATTATTGGAAGAAACTGATAGAAATTAAGAAAATCTAGAAAAATTTAAAAAAATTATAAGACATTGAAAAAAGTTAAAAAAATATTTTTTTTAATCCAAAAGAACAGACCCTTAATATCAAATTTGTAATGTCTAACTTGGCAAGCTTCTAATATTTTGTACTCCATCCGTTTATCAAAAAAGTTAATGTTATGTAATTTTTTAAGATTTATTTTTGTAATTTAATTTTCAATTAAATTATTAGTGTCAAAAAAAGAAAAATAAATCATCTAAATAATTTATTATATCAATGCAATATAAAAATATGATATTGCAATAATCTTATTTCTATATATTAGTAATATAATCAAAAAAGAAATATTTCGGAGAAAATCGAAAAAAATGAAAAAGGAAGTAAGATATAAATGGTGGTGTGGGTGCCCAATTGCCCATGGTGTCATTAAGGTGTGCAAAAAGAAGAGTAAATTTCATAATTGGTCCTTTATAACAGGAAGGTTTCCCTATTTAGTCCTCTATTATCAAATATTACCCCAGTGATCCTTTTTTTATGGGTATTTTCCCACAAATAATCCTTTTTTTGATCTTGTTGGTGTTAACTTGAAGGCTAAAAGTGTAATTTCACAATGATAGTATATCTTTTTTGCCATACACAATTCCAAAGGCAATGCCGTTTACGTCGTTTGTGAATTACAGCCGCTTTCTTCTACAACCATAGTCTACAAGTGTGGTCTTTCGTCGGATTTCTAGCCCACAATCATAGTCATTATTTTTGTGTTATCCGCTTATCCAATATCAGAACACGTCACTAGACATAATTCTGATATCAAATTATACTTTTAGCCTTTAAATTAATACCATCATGGCAGAAGATTGAAAAAAGGACCATTTGTGGAAAGGCACCTTTAAAAAAGGACTACGAAGGTAATATTTGATAATAGAGGACTAAATATGAGATTATGGAATTGGAATTTACTACAAAAAGAATTAAGGGTCCGTTTGGTACACGGAATTGGAATTGAATTAGAATTGGAATTCTATGGAATTGAATTGGATGGAATTGAATTCTAATTCAATTCCAAATCCTTTGTTTGGTAACATAAACTTATATATACAATTGATATGAAATTGTTTTAATAAACCTCAAACACGAAACCTCTGCAGTAAAGTAATTCAAAAGCCATTAAAACCCTAGCTAACAACTACAACCGATTTGATAAAGATTTGACAAATTGAAAAACAAATCTAAAAAAAGAATCGAATTTAAAGATAGATAGAGAGAGAATTACCAGATGTCGCCACCCTCACCCATGGAGAATTGCGAGATGTCTGTGAGGGTCACCCATGGAGATCGAAGATGAGAGAGATGAGAGAGCCGAGAGAGAAAGCGAGAAAGAGCGGAGGGAGTGGGAGTTTAGATCTGCGTAAAATTAGATCTAAAATTAAGACCCAATCCGAGAAAGATCCGCATGTTTTTATTTGACCTGTGAAATTCACTCCAATTCTTTTATTCTGGTATGGAATTTAAAATGCAGAATTGAAAAATTTGAAATTAGAATTGAATTCCAATTCTATAAATTTTTGTGATACCAAAGATGAGAATTGGAATTAGAGTACCATTCCAACGGATACAATAAATCCGCACCAGCCGACTTACGAGCTGAGGTTTGAGATCTCCCTCCCAATCTCAGGCAACCACACAGAGCTCAGCTCCGCCATGGATCCGCTAATGCTCCTCCGCGAGTACACAATCCGGAACGAGCTCGATCGGATCTCCCGAGTAGGAGACGAGTTCCGGTTCGGGAATGACTACTCATTCCCCTGCGCAATAGAGACCGGCTACCGCTCCAAGCAGGGGAATCGGTATACTCTCGAAACCCTAGTCCACTTCATCACCAACACCCAGGTCAAGCACACCGACTACATCCAGCACGCCCGCTCAAATAGGATCCATCCCGTCACCCTCCCCGACCGCAAACCCCTGGTCGATTACCTCACCGGAAAAATATCTTCTTCCGATTCCATCGAGTTCATCAAGTACGAAACGGGTTCTGCTCCTGCGGCTCCTCCAGTGGCTGGCGCTGCGGCTGAGAACAGCCACACTGCATATGCCGAGGCTAACAATTTGCCTGATTCCTGGGTTTTGGATAACCAAAACCCTATCGAAATGATTCGAGCTATCGAGAAGCCTTTGAAGGATCGGGAGTCAATCTTGCTGTGTAGGAACCGGGATTTCTATTCCGTATTTACTGCAGCTGTGCGGAGGGATGAGGAGAGGCAGAGGGAGGAGGCTTTGCAGAGGAAGGATGGATTGGTGGCGAAAAGTAGGTTGGAGAGAGGGATTGGGTACGTGGGTGGTGAGGATATGGGTTATGATGGAACTGCGAAGGCAGGCATGCATTATAAGGGGGGTAAGATTGGGGAGGGAGTCCCAATCATTCTGGTTCCCAGTGCATGTTCTACTTTGATTACTATATACAATGTGAAAGAGTTTCTGGAGGATGGGGTGTACATTCCAACTGATGTGAAGTTGAAGCAGATGAATGGTCAGAAGCCGGATTGTGTGACTGTGCGGAAGAAGATCAGTAGGGATCGGGTTGTTACAGCCTATGAGGTCAGGGACAAGCCATCTTCATTGAAGACTGATGACTGGGATCGGGTGGTTGCTGTTTTTGTCCTGGGGAAGGATTGGCAGTTCAAAAGTTGGCCTTTTAAGGATCATGTTGAAATCTTCAACAAGAGTAAGTTCTGATGGCTTTCAGGTCCAGTACGCACTTTAGTTTATCATGACACAGGCTCAAATTACCTTCCTGCATGTGATTCTAGATAGCCAAAATGGATTTCTCTAGAATGCATCTTATTTGCTCTAGCTTTTTAGAAAATGTGACTTTACGCTAGAAGTATTGTGTGTATCATAGTTTTTGAGTTCATACTCTAGAGCTCATGTTTGCATGAGATAATTATGTCATTCATTTGACTGCAATTATTAGGAGAGTCTTCTATTTGCATTGGTAAGAGACTGAACCTACTTATATTGGCTTTGGTTGCAGTTATTGGTTTCTACTTACGCTTTGAGGATGACAGCGTGGAATCTGCAAAGACGGTGAAGCAGTGGAATGTCAAGATTATTTCGGTAGGCAAAACTTTCTGTTGAGCTTGTTGCACTTGTTACGATGTTATCTATCTAGTCTATAATATATATAAGGGACTACTAGTTCATCTTGATTTCCATGCTTTGTTAGTTTCTCGTGTAAGCATCAATTTTTGGTGTTCAGATTAGTAAGAACAAGCGACACCAGGACAGAGCAGCAGCCCTTGAGGTTTGGGACAAGCTTGAAGAATTTATGCAGTCTCGATCACGTTGAGGACTTTCAAATTCAGTATTTTGCTAGGTAAATTTAATGTAAAAAAATCTTTGTGATGCATTTTAAGTTAAAATGCATCAGGAAGGCGGCGACTTTGTGAAACCAATGACACAAACATGTAGTAAAAGACCTGCATAATATCCAGTTTAGAAAACACCATCAGAACTCTCCTATTTTTTAATCTATAGTTAAAGATCTGCATAATATCCTATTACATGAATTTATTAATCTAAACTCTCTTATCACCATCTCCTTTTTATGTTTATTTTGTTTTTTCCGTGCAAATAAGATGATACCTAGATGCTACTTAAGTTCCGCTTTCCCATAATGTGGTTCTTTACAGTGATGGGCAATATTACTGGTCTGGCCTTTTTGGCTTGTAGACCCCCATGGCCAGCCCAGATCGTGTATGTCTCAGGACTGAGCCAGGGCCCCATGTAGGACAGTTGATGCCAAACACTGGTTTTCTCAGGCCCGCTATCGGAATGGTTGAAAGCAGGCATGCGATGTGGACAACCCCAGGACACACCACTTGACTCTAAACTTGCTACTTGACCTCCGCTTAACCATGCTAGACACTAAGCTCTGATGCCATACAGCTCCAAATTTATGTTTAGATTATTCTCCATAAATACAAAGCTAGCTCGCCTTTAGTGGAGGATGAAACCTCTAACTTCCACTCAAACATCACTGACTTGGCATGCCAGCCAACATCCACTCCTTGAGTATATAAATTAGTCATACCATTCGACTGCTGATTGTAGCCAGTTGACCGCTCTGTTTTGTTTCAATTTAGCCTGCTCAATGGTCCGCTGCAATTCTGCACCAACCATTGAAAGCTATGAACCAGAAGGTCCGTGGTTTTTACCTTTCAGGGTTTCCACTTTCCATGTAAAAGTACGCTGTCAGTCACCTGCTCTCCATCAAGCCACAGTTTCAGGTCAAACTGTAAAACCCCTTTGAACTGGCGTCAACAAACGGCAGTACAACCAATTCATCTTGCTCACTTGACTGATCTGGCCGGGCCCAAGGCTAGACCAATAGCGACTTTTCACCATAGTACAGGATTTCTTTCCCCTTCAAAAACCAGTTATTATTACAACATAGGCCTTTAATAGTGGCGCGTCAAGGCTCCAATCTATGTTATGTGATATGAGGCGCTTAACAGTGGGTTAGGGCTAGCTTGGTTTATTTGTAGAAGTTGTAACTCTTTAAGTTACAAGTTACAACTATCTGCTGTAATAACATTGACATGGATCTCTGTCCCGTATTGATCAAAGTTTGATGTTTGAGTGGGCCCCATGCCAACATGATGATGGCACCTGATATAAAACATTGGAACTTGAACAATCTATTCCGTGTGGGCAAGTCTTGTTCTAAGCTGCGCTCATGCACATTAAACTATCCGGAAAAGACCTCGTGTTCGAAGTTGAGCTGTCCAAAAGCTGGCTGTGATCAATTGTCTGGGGCAATAACCCGACATCAGGTGCCATTCCTTTCGTGTGAAATTAGCTAATATTGGTGTAGGAATAGTCTTAAAAGTCTTTAAATAATTTTCTTGTTTCTGAAAGCATATTGGACCAACTCATGTGGAATGGTGACGAGTTTAACCTCCTCGTTCAAAATGTAATGCTGTTCATTTTCTGTATATAGCATTTTTGTTGCTCAGGATAAATCCTTCTCTAAATTAGTCGTATTTTCGCTACTCTTCTATTTATGATTTTTTTTTGGGTTCGAATAGCCCTGCTAGAGTAGTCTCAAGTTAGCATTGGTGCAAGTTTTTTTGGCATATGGTCGAATTTCATTGTTCAATTCTTCATGAAAAACCATGAGAAATGCGATAGATATTTGTTTGGAAAAAAGGGAACATTCTGAGTCCCATATCAATTTTTTTATTATAAAGGAATAAGAAGAATTGCAAGTTTATTTTGTAGATATAGTAACCTTCTTTTAAGACAAAATAGTAACTTTAGTGATTGGGCATTTAAGTTTTGACATTCAATGAACTATTCAATCCGGACAGGACATTTCAAATAAGAACATAAATACAATACGTCGTTTCTGTATAAAGATAAGAAATGTTGTATAAATAAAAAGAGTTCTGCAACTAAAAGATACTCAACCATATTGAGGCAATTAGACACAAAGAATAGAAATACACAAATTAAACCAAGCGTCTATATCTATCCCACGATTGTGGAAACATAAGATGCAAGCAGAGGAATGGCTATGATCAACGGGCTTCTCGTCAACTTGATTGAAGTCATCGTCGCACCCGACGGTGTAGACTTCGACGACGACGACCCTCCCCCTACAAACATATATACCTCCAGAGTGTTAATTCTAATTTGGCTCGAAATGAAGTACAGTACAATTTTTGTATTGTTTTAAATCATTACTGCTTCTTTGAACATATATAGTTTCAACAAGCTTAGTCACTTCGATATATGTGCATAAAATACCGCGCGCACGCACCTGAACGGGACGAATTTCGAGAACTTGATGTCGTCCCGGGTGGAGATCTAGAAGGGAAACCAACTGCATGCATGCACATATTAATGTACTTCGTACTAATCTACGTTACTCGATCATATAAGGGATGAAAAATGGCTATTAAACGATAGAAAGTGTGAAAACAAATGGCCTCCTCTCGAGCTTGCGCACAAGAACAATACGGAGTATTGTTTTTAGTGAAATTTGGAGTGAATAGGACTAAAACATAAGTCATTTCTCAATGTAGGACTTAAACTTTTTTATTCCCTAAATAGGACTTAATAATGACTAGTGAGAACAATAATGTCCAAGTGATGCTAGACATTTAGTTGAATAATGACTAATAGATAATGACCAGTGGTCCTACATTGGGAAATAAAAACATATGGTCCTATATTGAGAAAATCATTACGTTTTAGTCCTATTTAGGTAAATTGCCGTTGTTCTTAAAGTGGGTGAGTATGAGATTCGAACTCGTGGCTTCTAGATCACAAGGGTTTGATCCAAAAATTGTGAAGATATCAAATCAATTAAAAGTTCAAGTTTTTTCTGCTATAGGTCCAGAAAAGGTTTTGCATTCTTACCGCCAGTGCAACGGTTCACGGATGGAGTCTGGACATTGCAAGAAGCGGGGAGGGCAAGAGCCTGAGTCTGGTTGATGTTTAGTCCGAGCGCAGAACCGCCGCCGGCCAAGACCTGGCACAGGCACCGGGGGTGGTTCCGCACCACGGTGCTCAGTTGCACGCAACAGCCAGCAGATGGGGATGAAGACGAAGAGTTGCCCGTGATGTAGTTGAGGCACGGCGACATGCTCATTATCACGTCGGTGCAATCGTCGCTCGTCTCGGCCGCCGTGCCGCCGCCCGCCAACAGGGCAACTAACAGCAGCAGGATCATGTAAGAACCCATTTTGTATAATGGACCTTGATTTTATGGACTACTTTGGAAGGAAGGTTAAATTACTTGCATAGATGGGAAGACAAAATACTTATATGGGAAATTAAATTTAGGGGAATAATCAAAGTAGACTAGGTAATATGCTGCTACACCTACCTAATTTGAAAACAATATTATTTAATTTCATTCCACATTACCAGCATATATGTCCATCTTACATTTTTGTCCATATTTGTGGTCTGCGTGAGTGTTTCCAAATCTCTAGGGTCTAATATTGCTAGATTTTCATTATTTTAATTACTTGATATTTTTAAATTTAATATAAATTCATGTGGAGCATTTTAATACTCATAATTCAAGTTGTTATTAAAAATTAAATTCATCTCTAATTTTAAAGTAAAAAAATAAAATAAGACTTAAAATGTAAATTTTGTACAAGACGAATCTCAATTTTTTACCTTCTTGAGCTGGCCCTTTTGGTCTGTGAAGGAAGGGCCTAGGCCGCCCCACCGTCCAAATATTGTAGTTGTTGAACTGTGCTTTCCAACCAAGAATCGTTTGAATATAGTAGATAGCATTATTTGGCCATATGGGGGGTTCCATTGTTTTCATCTCCACCGCCTGCCTTTCCCACCGCCCATATCATGCTAGGGGCCATATCATGCTAGGGGTACACGCGAAATGAGTATAACGATTCATTTCAAATGAGTTGACGGAGAACAGAGATTCGTTGAACTTTTGTTGATTTGGAATCACGCTTTGTAGGATTTAAACCTACGACATCCGGTTTTGGAAACCTATTGGCCTAAAAAACAAGAAAGTTTGCCCACGCTTGCATATTTTAGTAAAGTTCAACCAAAGAGAGCTAAGAGTAAGTGTAAGCTCTTCGAGCTTCCCTTCATTCGTTTCGCGTACCTCTTTACCTTTTATTTTTATTTGGTTTTTTTTATTTTACATGCAATTCAAGTTTTGTATTCATTTTTATTTGGTTTTTATTTATTCTTTTTTTTTTTGAATTTTGCACGTAAATTTTTGTGGTTATGAAGGGGGTGGCAGACACTTGAGGTACACCTTTAGTGTACCCATAACATTTTCCTTTTTTAAATTAAAGTATAAGAAAAAATTTATATAGCGTGCGGAGCAGAAAATTACTCACGGGCAGGGCCGGCCTCGAAAAATAAAAAATGAAATTGGCCCCGTCCAAAATTTATATTTTGGGCCCTATTTAATTATTTTAGAATATTTATGCTTCAAAATTAATTACTCCGTATAAATTTAAAAATATGCAGACTTAAAATTTTAAGGGCCCTGTGTGGTTGGCCACTTAGCCCACACTTCAGGCCACCCATGCTTACGGGTGATGCAGGTTTTGTTGAAGTAACTCTCAAGTCTTTCTATTTTTAAGAAAACAACTGAGGTCCTTACATTTTGATGTAATGACTGAGAGGGGACATTCTATCTAATATTTTATCAATAAACGTTAATAAATGTATTTTTTTCCTAAATGTTTCATGGTAATAAATCTTAGGTCGATCCTTTTTTTTATTTATTTCTTTTTCTTTTTTTGTTACTCTTTTTTAAAGTGTTATTTTAGAATTTCTTCAATAAAATCGTATAAAAACTCAAAATTGTTTGTATTATATTAAATAAATGAAATAAAAAATTTCTAAAAAAGAAAAAATCGAGTAATGGAAAAATAGGAAAAACGGTAATGGAAAAATAAGAAAAAAAATACATTATTTGAATAAAGTTATTAAGGAGACACGAGGTGTAGAATACATGCTAATTCAAGATATTACAAATTTCGTTGTAATATCTTGAATTAGCATGTATTCTATGCCTCATGTCTCCTTAATAACTTTATTCAAATTCTTTCTGATTTAAATAAATTTAATTATATTAAATATCGAGTGACAATAAGTCACCAACAATTCAAAGGGTCAACTTATATCCCATCCCATGAAGTTCTCCTCATTTATTAAAAAATTGTCATATCACATTTTTTAAAAATATTTGATATAATAAATCTAATAAAATAACTTTCATCTCAATATCTATTATCACTTTTATTTAATTTAAGGTCAAAGTTTATCAATTTTGACCGCAAAAATCAAAAGTGAACAAATATTCAAGAACGGAGAAAGTAATAATAATCATCATCATCTTGGAAACATGGTGATTTGGTTCCTTCAATTCATACCTTATGGGAGAAGCACTCACTTCCCGCTTTGGGTCTTCAATCCTTTCATCTTTGTTCTAGTGTCTAATATTTGGTTGGGGGGAGGGGTAGTGACACCATTATTACAATATATATAGCGAATGAGGTGGGAAGAAATACGAATTGGAAGACAATAATTAATGATGTATTTATTGAGTCATGCTTAAATCCTCCATGGCTAATAGTGCTGTTACAAAGTTTTGCTTAATGGGAGTGTGTGGGAGGCGATGTTTTCCTGCCCCTTTTCTTGAATAAGAAGCGGAGGACTGGAGCTGCCAGTGGCCAAGATGACACCAGTGCAATGTACGCCAGAAGCCAAATCGACCTCCGACTCTGCCGGGTGAGGTGCCCCAAGCAACTGTTCAAGAAGCCGCTCCTATCAAGTGGTGGAGGAGAGGCTTTGCTAGCATCATCATCACTTAACTCCGCAGTGCTATTGTTATTGGAAGATTCTCCTCCTCCTCCTCCTCCTCCTCCTCCTCCACCACCACCACCACCTGGAGCCGCTATGATCTTTATATTCTTCAAATGTTGTGCATCTTCTTCTTCTTCTTCTGCATTAGCATTTGTTGATGATGACACATTATCATCTTTCATTGGGGCTACCATTCCATCTGCCATGCTAATGTACGGTCCCCGATCCATTGAACACTCCATTGATTGAGAATGCACACTGTGTTTCTCTGCCTGGACCATTTTTTTGTGTGCAAAAAGTTAGAAGATGTCGGTATCAGAGTGAGCTTTCTTATGCGGAGCGAATGAGTAACATTGAGAGCAGGTTTGGTATTATACAGTGATCAGTCTGAATTGCCCAGAAAAAGAACTATAAAGATTTATAAATTAAAAGAGATCACACCTAAAATACAAAGGTGCAAGTGTAATTTGATTACACTTTTGGGTCATTTGAACTTAAAGCATTTTGTAATGCAAATTTTTTTTTGCATTTTCAATTTCATTTTGATCAGTTCAACTATAAAAGTCTTTTACGCATAATTCAGTCAAATGAGTAATTCCTATATATTTTATTTCAGCCAAACCCAAAACGATATGAATGTTGCTCACCTGCTGCTTTGGTTTGTGCATGAATGGACTAGAATGCAGAACACCAATAAATTCATTGGCTGCTCTCACCCACCTACAAAGAGTCAAGAACTCAGTTTTTCTTGTTAAAAATATCATAATTCATAAAAACTGGATACAGAAGTATCCCCCTGTGTGTGTGTGTGTGAAGTACCACAAGCTGGATGCAGCAACTCCTTCGAAAAAGGCAAGATGTCCTCCATGCTTTGACACGGCTAAAACTACATTTTTATTTGCCCTATGATTGATAAAAAAACACTCATCTGTATCATATAAATCATTTTTATAATAAATGGATCAAGACTCTTACCAGCTGAGCATATTACTAGAGGATCTAGAAATTTGATGAGACAAAGTCCCTAATTAATACTCCCTCCGTCCGGGAATTAACTTCCCACTTTGACTATTCCTTATTTTTAGTGGGTGTTGATTTTGACATTAAAATGTCTAAAATACCCTCCTATCTTTTTGTTATGCCCCAACACTATTCTACCCACACCCCAGCCCACTGCCAGTCCACCGCCGCCCCAGTCCATCGCCGCCGCAGCCCACCGCTGCCCTAGCCACATCCGCCGCTCCACCATACACTCCTGCCCCAGCCCCCTCCACAATAAGTAAAGAAAATAAAGAAAAACCTGAGGGAGGCGGAAAGAAGAAGAAGAAAAACCCACAGATCTACAGTTCTAACTCCCACCGCCGCCGTCTGCTCTACTATTACCGTTAGCCGCACTGATCTAACACAAATCTAGAAGAAGAAGAAGAAAAAGGGGGGAGAAAGGCATAGATCTGAGGGAGGAGGAAAGAAAAAGAACAAAGTTGAGGATGAGAAAGAAGAAGACGAAGAGAAAGGGGGGAAGAGAGAGAAAATAAAAGGGAGTGGAAGAAGAAACGAAGAAGGAGAAGAACAAAACCAGGAGAAGAGAAAAGAGAAGAAGGGGAGGGGGAAGAGAGAGAGAGAGAGGATAAGGGGAAGGGGGGACGACCAGTAGAGAAAGCAAACAAGGGTCAGGCGAGTGGAAGAAAAGGAGGATAAAAGAAGGGTATTTTAGGAAGAATAGAGATTAAAACGTAGAGTGGGAAGATTATTTTTGGACGAAAAAAAACGTAGAGTGAGAAGATTATTTCCGGACGGAGGGAGTACATTAATTACTAGGGAACTTGGCCAATAAACGGTCTAGATACTCTCCTCGTATGTTCAGATCACATGAACATCCGAAGCATAGTTGATAGAAAAGTGACCTGCACTCATCCCATGGAATAGCTTCTGCTGTACAGACCGGATCATCTAATGCACTTATGCAAAGTAGAGGCACGGAAACAAGTCCCAAATAAGGTGAACTGCTACTATGCCTATAGTATGAATCCACAGTCTTGACAAAACAATTTCACATTGTGAGTAGATTCATCCGTAATTATTATTTTTCAAACGAAGAAAGGAAGGGAATAGAAGAGAAAGCAAAATGTTACCTCAAATTTTCCAACCAGACAGGTGGCATGAGTGTCAAAATCACGAATTGTGCGTGACTGAACAAGGACTCACCATATACGCAAGCAAGCCAGTCAGAAAGAAAACCAAAATAATTTTTCATCTTAGTTTAAATATAACAATGGGGAATTTATAAGTTATCATGATGTCTTGGATTTCAAAAATAGAATGTAATTCCATTTCGAGCATGATCGGTGGCTCATTCTCTCATCTATAGGTGAGTGATGTTTTCTGGAATCAATATATGCCAACTACTACTAAATGCTTGAAATCAATAAGCCAGCTTTCAAATAACACTATTAAAAACGAGAGAGGGCCTAGCGCCCAGACTCGCCTAGCCACCGTAACAACTATGATAGAGGCTTACAATATCTAAACATCCACCAATGACATGGAACCACCAGAATCATGGCAAATATGTACTGTTGTCACTGTCAACACACTTCACGATTCTGGTGTCATCATGTCCTTAGTAGACGAAGTATTATAAGGGCTAAAAGCATGATTGCCCCCCGTGGTTTACATAAAGGGCGTCAAAACCCCCTCTGTTTTCAAAAGTTATTTGTAAAGTCCCTATGGTTTCTACATAGAGCATACATGCCCCCTTACTTATTTTTAAAGCAAAAATAATATTTATGCCCTTTCTTTTCATCAATCTTGAATTTTTCCAATTTTATTTTCCTTTATTATGCAAATGTATAATGTAAAATATATGCTTCCCATCTCAAATTAAAATTTTCCATAATGTATTTTGACAACAAAAGATTTTTTTGGAGAATATTACAAAAGAAAATGAAAAATAAAATATTATGTACAAAGTAAAAATAGTAATTGAAAAAGGTAATGAAAAGAAAGAAAAATATAAAAATCGGTCTTTTCTTTAATTCCATATTTTTTTTCATCTTTTTGTTCATTTTTTAAAGTCCTTAAAAAACTATTTTACTTTTAAAAATAAATAAGTTAGAATTTTTAATTCGAGATAAAGTGAGTATATGTTCTCTAATTTTTTATTTTATTTATTTTACTTTTACTTATAATGAAAAAGTGTAGTTTATTTCATTTTTAAAATCTTCATTTTCTTTTGTAACATTTTCTAAAAAACTTATTTTTATGAAAATTAAATAAATGAAAAATTTTAATTTGAGAAAGAGGGCGCATATTTTATTTTATTTTTTGTATAACAAAAATTCAAATAAAAAGAGAAATTTGAAGATAGAGAAAAATAAAGGGCAAAAATGTCATTTTATGTCTAAAAATAGGCAAGAGGGGGCGTCTTTGCACTATTTAAAAACCACAGGGGTTTTACAAATTACTTTTGAAAGTAGAGGGGGTTTTTAGCGCTCCTTTTGTAAACCACGGGGGGCACCCATGCTATTACCCCGGTATTATAAACTAATAGGCAATGACAGTTTCAATAAAAGGCATAATCTGAACAGTCAAAAGCTTCATTTTTTACAAGTTAGCTTTGATGCCAAATACTATTGGTTATTCACACTATGGTATGCTATTTAACAAAAAAGGGCATTGATGAAATTTCACCTTTACAATCCCATCCCAATTAGCAAGTCGGGATAAGTGAGGTTCATGCCTGAAATATCAGAATGAACAATATTTATCTTTTATCAACTACAATGAAATTGATAATGTCAGAAAAAATGTGTTGAACCAATCTTGACATTCAGTAATAGTTAGGGTGTTTATTTTGTAATTATGTTGAAGTCTTTATTTGTTAATAATTAGGGTAGAGTCAGTCATAATTTTAGGAGATATATCTCAGATGGATTTGAGATTATCATAGCTTGTAGGAGTAGGAGATGTTATGCTTGGAGAGCAAGGCTGATGATTTAACTTGGTGGACAAGGTTAACTCATCTATAAATAGGGATAGTTTCTCTGTATTTTATGTATTCAAAGTTTTTCAATTAATTGAAGAAGGATTTCCAATAAGTTCTTGTTCTAGATTTCTGTTTTCTGTTTCTCGAGATCTGGTACCAATAACTTCAATTGGTATCGGAGCTGAGTTCGAAGGGCCTGAAACTCTCCTGATCCAAAAGGGCTGGATCAATTACCAGATCCGAAGACAGGGCAGAAGTACAAGCGTCGAT